ACATACGAGTTCCTTGTAAACAGGGTAGTCAGATGTGCCACACAAATTGACCTTTATATTTCATTGTTGCACAGAACATAGAAAACCAAGTTTAGATAGAGCGTAAAGAAAGAAAAAAAACTCGTTCGATCCAGGAGATACAAGAAAGAAAAGGGGTTCGACCGTTGGGGTGTTTTTGATACCGAACACGCGAAGTTGAAATCCAACATGAGGTTCAATCGAGCATCTATCACCACCACAGAGAAATCCGACAACAAATAGAAAACAGACCCCCAACAGGGTGTTGCTGATTCCGGTGTTCAATCTTTTCAGTGATGATACTGTTGTGTTCTCCGATTCCAAACAACAAAAAATATTGATGTAGGTGTTCGAATTTTTGTTCGATAAATTTTCATCAGAGTTCTAGAATTCTGAGTTGAGGAATGAAAACATTATCTAGGTCACCAATGATGATGATGGCGGATGTGAGAGAGAGAGAGAGAGAGAAAAAGAGAGAATGTGTGTGTGTGTGTGTGTGAGAGAGAGAGAGAGAAAAGGACCGGTTGTGTACAAACAACGAAGAGTATTTTAGTCATTTACAATTACTTAACAGAATATGTTAACATGTGATATATAGGTCTTTACAATGATAAACTAACAATAATAGCATAAAGGGGAATTTTGTATTCTAATAAGCAAAGTAGTTGAGTATATAATAAAAACTAAGCTTTAAAAATCAAATTGGAAAACAATTCCAATTTTTTGTTCTATCCATTTATAATGTATGTTAATTATAGATTGATGCATGAATCATTTTCTAATCTAAATTGGTATTAAGCAACACTAATAAGCTTTAGTTTCACTTCATTTGTCAAATTATTTAGTTAAAACAAAGTCTTTAACTAAACCTAACTTTACTAAATTAACATAAACAAGCTCTTAGATTAATTTTAAATGTTGTATTTCGTTCTTTACAAGTATTCCAAAACAATATTCATTACTTTTCATTGGTTTGAAAACATGTGATATCAAGTTTACAACGAAATTATATCCAAAAGCATAAACAACTCATTGTTTGTTACTAAATTTTAATTCATAATACAGTTATAACTTTTAAAAATAAAATAACTATGTGAGAACTAACCTAATTCAAGTGGCAAGCATGAACCAAGTAAAATTTTAAGAGTAAAAATCAAACAATACAAGATTCACTAGTTTAGAAACGAATCAAAAATCAATCCAATGGAATTAACTACACATAGATGAACGTTAAAGTTGAAACCAAAAAATAGAGTTTATAGTTGTTCATGGCTAAAACGGAACAATCAAAAGTAAAATTGAATGAATGTAATGTGTTAATTGAATTAACAAATATACCAAAACGATGTTTCCAAATGAGACCTTCAAGCTTTTCTTCTCCTAAATCGCTTTGCTTGGTCGTGATGTCGAGATTGGTTGGGCAAAAAGTCAAGTGGTTTATAGATATGACCTAAGGAAGTATTTAAAGGATCAAAGTTCTCTTTGACTCAACCGAGTCAACATATAAGGTAAAAGTGTCTAGAGCAGGTCAATCATCTTATATCTTAATCTATAATTTTCCAAAATGACTTAACCGAATAAGCCCATAAAATAAAGGAGAATGATTGAGTAACTTCTGCCCAGGTGAGTCTTTTCTAAATTTTCAACTTTGTTTTTTCTAGTTCGATTTTCCCAAAATTTGCACTGAAACCCCTAACATCATCCTAAGCACGATACAATCTTCAAATACCCTTAAAAACATCTGAAAGTTGTGCAATAACAATATTTCACGAATCTACATAAAATGTCCCAAAATTGACAAAATGCATGAAACATAACACTAAAATGCAACGTAAATGTATAAAACACACATGCTAAATGATGCATAAAATGCAGCTAACACTTGTCTAACACTAATGACCGGTTAGCTCGAAGGTTCAACAATGTCGACTTAACGAGTCAACAACAACAATCAGTCAACTTGTTAAAAATGAGATGATTATTATTAGCTTTTCATATATGTTCATCGCAGCAATCTAGGTTTTCATGTATTTTAGGTTTTTCCTAATAAGTATGTAGGTATGTATGTTCATCTTCGTCATCTAGGTTTTCACGTATGTTAGGTTTTTTATTAGTTATGTATATATGTTCGTTGTAGTTATCCGAATTTCCATATCATTCATACTCTCTGTATATATGTTAGGTTTTTGATTTAGATGTTATGTATGTTAGGTTTTTTATGTGAATTTGATGTATATAATTGTATTTGTATCATCATTGCATGTTAGGTTTCGGTTTTGATTTTGATTTTATGTATGTATGGTAGGTTTTTTATCAGGATTTTATGTTTGCATACATGTTATGTTTTATACTCTGATTTTATGTACATAATTACATTTATATTAGGTTACATAGTACAAAATGACATATTATTTATCCATACAACTTTAATGAAAAAAAACAAACGCTTAATAGCTTTTCTCATACATGACGTATCCCAAAGAACATAGGATTTTTTGAGGAAAAAGTTAATTCAACAATCAACTATTTCCAAATTTCCCGCATTGATCATGAACGTTGTTTTTCGCGGGGCCCTTTCAAGATTTTTTTTCTTCTATTTACCTCCTTATAACCAAGTATTTACCACCTTATAACCAACTATGGCTTGTTTGTGTAGCTAAAATATTTTTTGTATTCCTAATTTTTTTTAGGGTTTATAATGTTTTGCTTTTTAATACCATTTATTTACGCTTTTTATTATTCTTATATAATATTTATGTGACAATTTAGTAAAGAAATATTTTTACATTGGCTAAAGGGTTGAAACATTTTTTACGGTTTATTTTTATTTGTTTAAATAAATTTTACAAATTTGAATAACTTACAAAAAATTAAAAAAATTAAAAAATAAGTATTAAGATCACAAAGAGACTTATTTTAACTTATATCTATAAATAAGATGGTTCCATTTAATTGTTAAAAGTTAATATCATGAAATTGTACACGTCGGGGTTAGAACTCGTCAATCTAAGAGGCGAAGTCTCTACCAAGTTGGCTAGTCTCACATTGACTTTTATCCATTATTTAGTATGAATAATAATATTTTATATTATTATTTATAAACCCCGGATGTAAAGATGAAAGAGTGTGAACATAGTTTTTTTTTAAGTTTATTTATGATTAACAATAAATAATAGATAAAAGATGTAAAAAATGGTATATAAAACACAAAAAGAAAAATTCAGAAATCATATTTTTACAAGAAGATTTGGGTGTTGTTTGTTTTTTGTCTTCAAATCTTCTTGGTCTTTTCTGTCTGCGCCGTGCAGACCACACGCAGACATTAGACTTTACAGACTGTTTGTTTTTTTTAAGACTGTAGACCTAAATAGGTCTGCGTGTCCTCTTCTTGGCGCATATGTGGATCATAATCTTCAAACATCTTCTAGCCTAAAAAAACACATACATCTTTGTTTTGTTTTTTTTTTTTTTTAACTTTGATTTATTCCAATTGTATCTACAATTTGAAAAAAAAATGTTACAATACTTAAAGAAAAAAAGGTTCAATGACACAATCGTGACCTTTGTGACAAATTTATAAATAAAGATTACATTACAATAATCGTCGTTGGAGCTGTTTATATAAATATCAAAAACAAAAATCATAATATTGTCATATATTTTTTTTGTCAAAATTTATAAAACATTATTTAATGCAGTATCATTCATTTCTTAAAAAATATATATATTTATGGTCAGTTTTTAATTGATTTAATTGAAAAAAGTAAAATGAAAATTTTGAAAAGTTTAATTTAAAATCAAAGTTTATTTCTATCCATTTTATGTGTTAAATTGTTTTATCCCTAATTTAAAATCATAAAATTATTGAAAAACTCTTTTTAAGTTTTTTAAAAAAAAATCAGTTTAGTTAAATTTTAGTTTATTTTAGCAGCTCGCAAATATTAAAAAACAAGCAGTCTTCTTCTTTCAGACTGCCGACGTTTGGTCCACATTTTCTACTGCAGAGCAATGTTTTAAAAATTGGTTTGAACCAGTCGGTCGAACCGGTTGGACCGGGAACCAGGGAAGGGAGCGGTTCAAGTATCATCGGTTTTATGTCTATTTCTGAACCGGATCAAACCGGCCGATTTTTACAAAAATCCGGTTGAACCGGTTCAATTAAACCGGTTGAACCGGTTCAATTAAACCGATTGAACCAGTTTAATTAAACCGGTTAAATTGAATAAAAACACATGAAATTGAAACATTTTGCATAATAAACTATGGTAGATTTTTCACATTTATTAAGATTTTTCTGAATAAAAGCACATGATAAATGCTATGAAGTTTTTTGATGCGTTTATATTCATCTAGGACTTTATTTTCTTTTTAATGCACGTGGATTGATGTAAAACTTATGGTTATGAATTATTTTAATGTATTTAGATTGATCTACAACTTGTTTTCATATGTATTTTAATGTTTGAACTTGTGGACATCAAATTCTTGATTTGTATATGTATGTATGTGTAGGAAAATACGAAAAAATATAAAAATTATAGAAACCTGTTTACTCAGTGGTCGAATCGGTTAAACCGGTTGAGTCGGAAACCGGTCACCATACCGGTTCAATTAAAAAACCGGTTTTTAAAACATTGATGCAGAGGTATGCAGATGTGGTCCGCAGACTGCAGATATTTTACCTTAGAAAAAACAAATAACACCTTAATAACCATTTTATAACATAAAAAATGGTTTTAACGAGATCAATCGGCTATATCAAATCCAATCATCAAAATCTAAACGAATAAAAAAAAATTAAAAATTAAAAAAAAAAAACAAAACTAAAAAAGTAGAAGGATATTTATTTTTCGAATAGAAAATTTATTTTGTAATTTTGTTTAATGAATTTAGCCTTTCAAAAATAAAATAAAGAAAGTTATTTAAAAACTTGCTATTCGTACGGAAGGCGACGGCTAATTCTTGGTTGTTTAAAGTCAAAATCATTGACTTCAAATTCCCCATTAACAACGAGTTCTCTCTATTCACGAGTCTCCCATGTCGGCGGCACTTGACCCAGCCATCGCCCCTTCGTCAATTTCTTTTATATTCGTCTCAGGAGACCCAATCAAATTACCCCGAAACTCATAAATGCAAGTCATGAATTTCTTATGAAGGTTACAACGCATCGTGGATTACAAGCAATTCTGTTTAGTCTGTTATGTTGTTGAATTTGAATGGATCTTGTCCTCAGTTATTCAATTGTATGTGTGGGAGGTGTTATCTGATGTGGGGTTTCATCTGCTTTTTCCAATTTTGAAAAAGATCAAGTTTCTTGCCATAAAATCCTTGTCTCTTCTAATCTTCGAAGGAGGGGTCGCGAGAATCCTGAATTTCTTACGGAAAATTCAACCAATCGCTGTCCGATTTAATCCAAAATATTCAATTGTATCTAGGGGGTTTGTTATTTGATGTTGGGCTTTATCTAATTCTTTATTAAAAAGAAAAAAAACCAAGTTTGTTGTCCCAAGTTCTCTCTTTTTTTTTTTTGTTTTTTTTTTTAATCTTAGAAATGGGGGGTTTAGCGATTAGAGATGAGGCAGGGATCGCGAAAAGTTTATGGGCAAAATCGACAAATGAATCTGTATTCGCAATTTATACTCCTTATATATTGTCACTAGCATCTGGGAAGTTGGATTCTGGCTCTTTCCTCCATTGTATCTCTCAGGATCTTCGTTTTCTTCAAGCTTCTGCTGAGGCGTAAGTTTGGTAGTTCATTCCTATATATAAGTCGTGTATTGATCTTCTTCTTACACTTCATGTATGTAATTGTTTTGAATTTATGGCTTTTTAGTTTAGAGATGGCAGAAGAATGCTCAGATGACGATGACGATAAAACCGTAATTTGTAAGATCAGAAAACGGGTGTTGAAGAAGATGACAATGTTTCGATCAATTGTCCAAGTAGGCGTCTGAATTCCAATGTCTATAGTCTACAATATCAACAGTATAAAATGATATAATTTGATGAATTTAGGTTTGATTAGTATTTATTAATGCAGGAATGGGGCTTTGAACTTCCAACAGGGAATATTTCAGATCGTGCAATGATCAAATATACAGATTTCTTGCTGGCAACAGCATCTGGAAAAGCAGTAGGAGAGAGATTCCCTGGTAAGCTCGCAACTCCATTTGAGAAAACTAAGCTTTCTGCTTATGCCCTTGCTGCCATGGCACCCTCCATGAGGCTTCAATCATTTTTAAGCAAGGAGATACAAGCAGTTCTTGAACCTGATGAAAACATCCATCTTTACAAAAAATGGATCGATAGTCTCTCCTCTCAAAAATACGAGGTTTGTCTCATCATCCATTCAACTTAATCAATCAAGAAAACTGGAATCTTATATAATTATATATATATTTGCTCCACTTTTAGGCTTCAGCATCTCAGATTGAAGAACTGTTGGACAAATTGACCGTGTGTTTGACCGGTGAAGAGCTTCAGTTTGTTGAAACGATCTATCACAAAGCCATGAAGCTTCAAGTAGATTTTTACTCAACTCAACCGATCATTCAGAACACCATAGTACCCTTGTATCGATTTCATGGAACTGAAGAACACAATGTTGTGATATGTAGTGGATTCGACTTGACATGTAGTGCTGTTGATTCATGTGCCCTTTTGGCTGATATTGCTATTATAAAATCATCAAAGACTGTAAACTCGAATGGATATGAGTCCCTTTCAGATGGCACTTTGTTGGATAATCGGGATGTTTGGAGCAGTCTTCATGGCCAGTATGTTAGAGAATATGAACAATGTATCGACAGCATCATGCTTAATGAAAGAGCCATGGAATTCAACTTTGAAAGCTTGTGTAGAACACTTGGTGAGTTATCAGATCTAGAAAAGGCAGGAAACTTAAGAGTTTGTAGGTCTGGTGTTTTGAAAGGATTGCATATGGATGACATTAAGTGGGCTGGTGAACACCTTGTTTTTCAAGATGGTTGTGTAGAGTTCTTTAGAGAGATTGAGAAGATGAAAGATGTTGCAGTTGATGCTCATATACTTTCCTACTGTTGGTCTGGTGATCTCATTAGATCTGCCTTTTCCAATGGTGATTCAGGATTTCCTGATGTGCATTCAAATGAGTTAGTCTTTGAGGAGTCAATATCAAGTGGAGAGATCTTGAAGAAGGTGCAATGTCCGATAGAAAAGCTTCAAACTTTTGATGAAATCTGCAAGAAAGGCGGGAAGCTGTCGGTTTACATTGGGGGTTCAGTGGAAGACTTGCTTTGCCTGTTGAAAGCAGATATAGGGATTGTGATCTCACCAAGTGCTAATTTAAAGAGACTTGGAGGTTTATTTGGCTTCTCTTTTGTCCCTTTGTTTTCTGGTTTGGTGAAGAAACAAAGAGAGTTTATTGAAGGCGGGTGTCCATGGAAAGGTCTGTCTGGTACTCTTTACACGGTTTCTAGTTGGGCTGAGATTCATGCTTTCATTTTGGGGTGTATGATCTGATGAAAATGAAGTACATATATAAATATATATAATTTTACCCTAATACAGAATAACAGTGATTAGTGATTTGTAGGGTTTATAGCCAGATTATTAGTAATGGCTAGGTTTGAGCCTTGAGTATTTTTAAAAAGGTCGCCGCCCTTGGGTATAATTTACAGGTTTGGTTGTGGGATTTGTAGATTTGTGTGCAAGTGTAACAATATTGGAATGATTTTTTGGATTGTAATATGTAAAGTGGTTTCCTGAATTGTATATACTGTTCTATGCAATGATCAATGAATCCATTTTCAGTTACCCTTTTGCAGTTTTTTACTTACAACCTCTCAATGATCGGTGTTTGTTTGAATGGATGGTTGCGATCCGATCCGATCAAGCTAATCCTAATTAATTTCGGTTTTTAAAATATGGATCTGAATAGAACGAACTAAATTATAATCCGATCAGAAACCAACTACATTGATTATAGTTCCGTGGGATCAGTTTTCACAACTCTCAATTATGAAGAGTTTAGACATTCAAAAAATATACAAACTTCAACTTAATAAGTTTGAGTTGTCAAATTTAAATCCACAAATTATAGAATATCTTGTCATTAAAGTCAACTCTAATAAAAGACATTTTATTAATAAAGACATTTTATTGACATGTCTTCTAATTTAATTGATAACAACTCTAAATAAATAATAAATTACTAAATACATATATTAAAATAAAAAATATAAATAAATAAATTATTGGTATATGGTTCGTTCGAACTATTTGGTTCTCATTTTATTAACCAAAACCAATTTGAAATATAAAATAATAATTCGATTTTGGTTCTAACCAATCAATAAATATGATTATCCGAACAAAATAGTACAATGCAAATTCTCCGGTTGGATAATTCGATTTGATCCAAAAACTAAACATCCCTAATGGCAACCCTGAAACAAACGAATGAAGCCGAAAAGGAGGATTAAGGCGGGTGACAAAACATGGGACTGCTAGACAAACAAGGTCACTCCGGTAATGAAGTTGATTGGCAGTTTTGCAAAGTAGGCACAAATGTTAGGCTAGAAAGAAGCTATACATTTGTGTAACTATCTTTTTCGAAATGGTTGGGGATCATTCCAGACCCGATGAAAACTAGTCAAAGCCCATTTTATGGTCCTCCTCCTAAATAAATAGGACCCACCTCCTACCTGAACGTTGTTTCGCATTTGTCAGAAAAATTTTCAACTTAGGATTTGAAATTTATTTTGAACATAGACAATCCGGTTAGTTTCACTTGTTTTTCTACTCTGAATATTTAAACTGCTTGCCCGAAATGCGAAGATCGATTTTGGAATACAACAAACGGTTCAAAATGTTTCATATTTGAAGGCCTCGATTCGTTTTTTTTTTCCGTTTTTTTTGTTGTTAAATTTTTTACGATGACTTTTTGTAACACCTTGTTTTGGGATGTTTTTAATTTCGGGATAGCGGATTGTATTTTGATCGAGTAAAGATCTTAAGCTTCAAAGGAATAGAGCTTAGACCTTATCGGATATTGGTAATGTTAGTTAAGTGGTTAAAGCCCTCAACTTTTTGCTTTGAAACAAAAGGGTAAAATGGGAAAGGTGGTACATTTGGCTTCTTGCATGAATTAAAGATTTTAGTTCGGTATGTATTAAGTAAAAAAATAAGTAGATATGATTGTGGGGCTTGTCAATACCTTCACATGCATATAAAGATCACTGAAAATGGAGTTGAAACGAAGAAGTTATGATTGTTTGAAGTTGAAGCTTAAAATCTGAAAATCTGGAATTTTTCGCAAAAGCGCGGGGCGCCTTTAAGGAGTGCGGAGCGCCCCCGACTTGGTGGGCTTAGGGTTTTTAAGGTATTTAAAGGCCATTAACCCTTAGGGTTTGATCATTTTCAGCCTCCAACACCCCTATATTATTCTTTGAGTGAAACCCTAGCCTCCTTTAAGTAAGGTGAGCTTATCCTCTCTCCTTGAACCATTTTAGGGTGCATTTTGATGGTAATTTGATGAAGATTAAAGATCAAGAAAAGTCTTGTTGGTTGCAAGGGATTTTGTTTCAAGTTTGGATCCATAAAGTTCTCATTTTCTTAGACTTTTGTAAGTATAAAGCTTTAACCTGTCCTTTCTAGTTGTTAGATCCTGCTAATGGTACCTTTTATGCACTTTTGGTCCCATTTTGGTGATGAGTTGGAGTTGAGATAACTGCAACTCCTTTTGAGCACTTAGGATTGTTGAGTGAACCATTTGGACTTGGAAAGTTGGCACCTTGTGTATGTTCTTTTAGCCATGAATATTATTTTGGTCCTTTTGGTCATTTTGGTGCATTAAAAATCTAGATCTTATAAGTTTGTGGGCATTGTTATGGATAAAGTTGGAAACTTTATCCATCTTGACACCATGTTGTTTTAGATCTGAAAGTTATAGAGGCTTGGACTTAATAGATTATGTTACATCTGGATTATCGAGGTATGGAAATGTAAAGCAAATATGAGTTTTAGGAAGGTCACGACGTGAGGGAAGCACCGTCACATCATACATGGACGCATTCTTCGGGATTGATCAATTGTGTGTCACGAGTGACTTTATGGGTCACGACGTGACACCTAATCAGATGTTGTAACACCCATAAAAATCAAGCCAATTTAAAACTTTTTCAAATATTCAAAAGCCATTAGTTATTACAAAATGTTTTCAAAATAGTTTAATATCAGAGTCTCCCAGAAACATAGACATAAAATGTAAGGAGTTGTACGATCACGCCTTTGCCTTCCCGCGATCATCTGAGGTACCTGAAACCAAAGCTGAAATTGTAAGCGCCAAAGCTTAGTGAGTTCCCCCAAAATACCGATACGCTGCAAATAACACATATACAAATAACATGTACTGGGTCCACAGCTTTACAGACTGGATTACCCCTGGCCCACAGTGTGAGTCTGGATTGCCTTCCGGGCCCACAACTCACATCTGGATTGCCTCCGAGCCCACAGTACGAGTCTGGTATGCCCCACCCGGCCCTCAGCTCATATCTGGAATGCTCCCGAGCCCACAGTACGAGTCTGGCATGCCCTACCCGACCCTCATCTCGTATCTGGAATGCTCCCGAGTCCTCAGTATGAGTCTGGCATTCCCCGCCCGACCCTCAGCTAATATCTGGAATACTCTAGGATTTGTTGGCTACCGCACGGAGCAGTACAACCTCAACCCAACCCACATAATATGTCGACATATAACATAACTAATGCGCATACAGATAATCACATAATAATACAGGTAGTCCTACAGATCTACCAAACTGGTATAGCAACTAGCATGCAAAACTAACTCATACTCGACATAATACCAACTGCTGGGATAACATATCCAATGGGCCGACATTGGTGCCTTCGACCCCTTAGTATAGTGAGGATAACTCACCTGGCACTGCTGAAGTCCCGCAGAAGAAACTCCAGCTGCTGGTTGACAGATTCCCGAACTGCCAACATCAAACAATACCCAATTAATAATTGGGTTCCAAGCCCAAGGTCCAATTCACACTCTAAAGGCCCAATAGTCAAGTAATGGGCCAAAGCCCAACATATGGGTCAATTTTCCAAATTGGGCTCAGACCTCTACATGGTCTTTCCTTAAGGCCCATCCATTTATTCTAGTCCAAACTCTTGGTATTCCCATGGCCCAATATCACATAATCATAAAGGCCCAGTTATGGCCCACCTATGGCCCAGTTTTCCAAATTGGGCCCAAGTCCTTCACATGGGTCTTATCCTAAAACTCATCCATTTATTTTGGTCCATTTACTTGTTATTGGATAGCCAATCAATAATCCAATCACCAAGGCCCAATAGGAAGGCCCAAATCAAGGCCCAAGTGAAATTAGGGTTTTCACATGAAATGACGATTAGGGTTAAGTGTTCCTACTTAACCCATTAAGGACTTAATCCATTAAGTCCAATATTGCCTTAGGTTAATTTGCAAATGATTATTAATTAACATTTTCAGTTTAGTAATTAACTCAAGTGCGGGTCCCGATAAATTCCCAAAATTAGGGTCTCATGACATTAGGGTTTTCCAAACCCTAATTAGTGTTTCCAAACCCTAATTAGTGTTTCCAACCCAATACTAGCCCATTAGTAACATGATTAGGCTTTTAGGTCAATTAGGGCTTCATTGGGCCCATTACGGTTTCATTAGGCCCACTAGGGTTTCATTAGGCTCATTCTGTCCAAGCATCCCAAATGAGTCCAAACACAAACGAGCACACCGCCACCCAACACGGCGGCTGGTGGCGGCAAGAGGCGGCAACCACCACCCTACGGTGGTGGTTTTGAGTTTTCTATTATTATTATGGCCGATTACAATACATTACATTTTACATCTAAAAACACAAATAAACACACACATAAATAACACACACACACACAGCCACCCTTGTGGTGGCCGGCGGTGGTAGATGGTGGCAGCCACCACCTCACGGTGGTGGCGGTGGTGGTTTTCTCGAGAAGTCCGGCCAAGCAACACTACCCACGACGTATGGTATGTACTCTAGTGGCAGAAACACACATACATCCTTTTGCTTGGAAAAATAAACCCAACACCCACCTATGGTGGGTGGCGACGATAGTAGCACCGGAAAACAGGCAGCAGCAGCGGCCATTTGCGGCAACAGCTTCGTCACCTGTGACAGCCATCATAGCCGGCTGCCATGGTGGTTCTCACGCCTTCCATTCGACAGAACCCACTCACACACTCAATCGCATAACAAACCAAGAACCCGACCACCCTGCCACGGTGGCATGCGACGGACGAAGGGCGTCAGTGGTGTTGAGAAATCTCCAGGCAGCAGCGGTGATGCGGTCATAGGGAGAGAAATGAGGAGAGGAGGAGGTGGTTCGAACCCACCGAGTACAACAGCAGCAACAACGGCGGAGAGGCGCCTGCTCGAGTCCCCATCGGCAGTTACGTCTTCCACAGCAATGGCAGCAAGCTTCGTCGGCATCCATGGAAGGAGGTGGTGGCGGAGACTGGAGGGCAATCCACGAGCAACCGGCGACATAAACGCATGTAGCTTCGCTTTCCCGACATTAGAATGGACACGGGGTGGTTGCTCCGTTGATTTGGGGATCTCAACCGAGGTGGTGGCTGTCGGAAGTTAAGGGTAGAGAGGGAGGTGACGGCTGGAGTTGCATTAGGGTTAGGGTTTAGAGACAATAAAACAGTTATATACCCGCTCGATTCAAACTATGATCCGTATTGACAAAACTGATCCCTACTTCTCCTTTTCCTTTCATATTAAGTCCCAAAATTACCATTTATCCCCTGACTCCATAAAATCCTTTCAATATAAGTCCAAATGATACCAAACACACCCCGACTTCTGAAATCCTTTTCACAATAGATCCCGAAATTACACTTTAACCCCCGAAGATTCAAATCTTGTCATTTGGCTTCCCGAAACCAACACCCCACTAATTATTATTTGATTTTGGACAATAATAATATAAAAATAATAATAAAGTTACTTCCCGGGGTTCCGGGTTTATTATTTAATTATTCTATTTTAAACGGGATGTTACAGATGTAAAACCCTAATTTCGGACTTGGACCTTATTTAAAGCAAGTGAGGGGCTAGGGTTTCTTCCACCCTCAACCTCCATCACCTCTAAACGACCCTTTGGCCAAACCCTAGATCTCTTAAAGCTTTTGAGCTTATTTTTCAAGTTTTGGTGGTTTTGAAGGAAGAAAAAGAAGTTTTGGGTGTCTATTTCCTCCAAGCAATCTCTCATCATCCTTGTGTGCAGCTTCTGTACTTTTTGTAAGTCCTCAAACCCTTATCTTTTGTTGTATGCCTCTCGGATCTAAGCTCTAAGCCATATTTGGCCCCATTTGTGGTGATAAGATGAGTAGAAGAGATGGAGTTTGCAACTTTATGATCTTTTTGTGTCCCAAGAGTATATATTCTCATAGATCTAGGATGTTGTGGTGATTTGGGAGTCTTGCATGGATTTTTGGTCAGATTGTGTCTTTTGACCTAGGGTTGGGAAAGGACATGCATGTTCATAAATTTTGCATTTTTAGGGATCATTAGGGTCCCTACAACCTTCTGGAAGTTTTGGATTGAATACTTTTTGAATTACATGCTTAATGATTGATTCCATGCATTAAGTGGCCTTAAAGGACCTTGGACATGAGATCTTGGCTTAGAGCGATGTCCTAGTGGATAAAGTTGGAAACTTCATCCATTAAGACCTTGGGAAGAATCAGATCTGAGCTTCGGAGCTCATGGAATCAATGGAAAATGGATTAATCCATTAAGGTGGGATAACCAGCTTTCATGACGCGGCACCCTCTCTGTCACGACGTGACGACTAGGGTTTTTCCCGATTAACTTGAACTGATTTCATCACGATGTTATGACATGTACATCACAATGTGACGATGCTTTGGATCGAGACTGAGTTGATTTGAGACTGAGTTGATTTGAGACTGAGTTGATTCGTGACTGAGTTAGGACCAGGTTGAGTCTGTTTCCCACAACGTGACCATAACTTGGTCACAATGTGAGGGTCATCTAATAGAAGTGTTGATCGTGACTTTGACCGTGACCGTTGATTTGTTGACCTAGCTTAACTTTTGGTCAAAATGGTTAGTTTTAGAGGTTAGTCTAAGGTGGGAGCTTGTTTGATTCAATAGGTGGGTCGTAACATCGTTCACATGGCAGTGAGCTGTGTTCTTGGCTGATTTCGTGAGTTAAATGAGTCTTCTCATTATACTGTGTAGGATGCTAGCTGTCTTTGTCTCTTGCATTTATGTATTGGGTTGGGCCCATTTTTATGTATATTAGACTGGACCCATTTTCATGTATATTGGGTTGGGCCCATGTGCATATTGGGTTGGGCCCATTTTCATGTATTTTGGGTTGGGCCCATTTGTAGGTGTGTTTGGTTAGGCCCTTTGTATGTTGGGTTGGGCCCATTTGTATGGTATGTGGTATTTTGGGGAACTCTCTAAGCTTTGTACTTATGGTTTTGTGCTTTGAATATTTCAGGTACTTCCAGTTCTAATGGGAAGAGCCCGCATTGACTGCACAGCATTATCCCCCTGATGATTTTCTACATTGTTGATTGTTATTGTACTCCGATGATTATGATATATTTGCTACTAGGATGGCTTTTTGGATAAATATTATGTGATTTGATAAATTTTTAAAAACTATGTCTATCTTGGGACGTTACAGATTAAGTTGAAAGAAATGCATTCTTGGACTTTTTTAGACTCAAAAATTAGATCTTGGTTGTTTTGGAAACGCTTAATGGATAAAGTTGGAAACTTTATCCATTTAAACCATATGGGAGTTCAGATCTATAATTTGGGGGATTGACTTAACTAATTAAGTCATTTAGCCCTTTGGATTCAGTCTGAGCGCGGTGTGCTTTTCCTTAGCACAACAAACTTTTGGGGCTTTCTGATGTGCGCTTGATTTTGAACTAGATCTTGACTGTTTTATCCCATAGTGAGCATTGGGCGCTCTTAGGGAGCGTGGTGCGCTTTTTGACCATGTGTTGACTTTCCACTAGGTTTGACTTTAGGTCAAACTTTAGGGTTTAGGGTCAAAGATTGAGGTTTAACCTTTTATTTGTGATTAGGTGGTTGTTGAGCCATCCTTATCTTTATGTGAGTTGTGGTGATTCTTGTTTGATTACGAGGTGAGTTTTCTCACTATATTTTATATTGTAGTATATATCCTTGTATGTAGGAAGTTGTTATGCTGTAGTGATCTGTTAGACTGGTAGATCTGCTATGATTATCTGCGTTTGCTTGTTATTGTTTATGTGCATATACCAACATGTTGTGGTTGGGTTGAGGCGGTTCTGCTTTGTGTTGAAGGTCAAGATATGCGGGTGGTCCAGGTGTAATTTAGGCCCAAGGGAGTGGTCTAGCTATATTATAGGCCCTGATGGGAGGTCCAGTTAGACTGTAGGCTCGAGAGAGCCGTCCAGGCGTACTTTAGACCTTGCGAGATGGTCCATTCAGACTAAAGGCTCATGTGTACATGCATTGTATGTGTATTGGAAAGTGAAGTATTTTAGGGAACTCACTAAGCTTTGGCTTATAGTTGTGGATTAAATATTTTCATGTACTTATCGGTTCGAGGGGGATACGAAGGCGGAACTATACACACATACATCAACAATTTAATGATTTGAGATTCCACGGTAATTTTCTGTATAACTCTGTTTTTGAACTATAGTTTACAAATAAAAGGTTTTCCCTTGAATATGTTTATGAAAATATGTGTTTAGAACCAAAAAAAATATTTTGAAAATTGGGACGTTACATGTTTGGCAACATCTAAGTAGGTTAAATAACCCTAAGTAACCCAGAAAATCATGTGCAAAATAAAACCCTATTTTCGGATATGAAAAATGGTCGAGAATATAAAGAATAGTTTGAAATGGACTTTTAATTTATCGAGTATAGGAAGGTTTTATTTCTTGTCGTTTCTTCAGTAGTATAATGTTCTGTTATGTTGAATAAGAGTGATTTTCATAGTCCCAAATCTGAAGCAATATTTTGCATCAGTTCGAAGGTGCACCCGATTAATTTGTATGGGTGTTGCTTAAAAAGTTGGTTTTATGAATGAGGAGATAATGACGCACCTACTGAAACTTTTAGAATTAGAGTCATTTAAGGTAAGCGGATTTTAAATGCATCTATTATAATTGTATTTATAATACTAAAACATACACATTTTAATTTGCAGAGGAAAACATCGGTTGTGGAACTAGAAAAAAAAATCAACACCCACCGGCATCCAAACATGAAACTAAGGAGGAAATCAAGCTGGTTAAAATTGAAAGCATATAGAACTTCCAAAGATTGTAGCAGGTCAAGCCTTGATTAGGTCATTATTTTAGACCGTATATTATGTTTTTTGGATGTCGATAACTTAATGATTAATTATTTTTGGAATCATATACTTGTTTAAAAGAATTGTAATTTTTTTTATCACAGTCTTCAACATCCATTGTTGCGTCTGATACTTATGAGGTTACATAAATGGGTCTTGTTGATAGGACTGCATTAGAATTAATTCATGATTTTCAACATGCACAAAAGAAATTGTTAGTACCGGGTATCCCTTTACCACGTTCAAAAGGCAAAAAGTATTGAAAGTTAGCGATTTATAATATGCAAATGCTTGTGATTATGATGTTTAAGGATATAGAAGAGTTTCCAACGCAACGAAAATAATCGATGAAGCACATGGGGCGAGTACGGCAATTTAGGAGCAAGTTAGGGCAGATGATACTAACATGGACTTAATAGAAATCTATGTGCAATAGTTTGAAGTTCACATAGAGACGACTCAATTATACCTTACATAAGTCCTAAGTATACATTTTTATTATATATAAGAAAACATGTACATTAATTTTAAGTAAAAATATGTAACTTATTATGATTTTAATGAATGACATTACTTTTCATTTTCATTACATAAACGAAACGACACAAGACAATAGAAGAACCTTACAAACCTACTAGAACGACGTTACATTGATTACAAACTTAATTTTTCAGGCCATGCATCTGGATATCGAAATAGATACATTCCTTTTCCATGGTTAATAAATGCTCTTCTAATTCTAATAGCATATTCAATACGATCACGTTCTTCTATAAGTGTGCTAATCTCCACATCCGCACCAACAATAATTTTTTTTATACTTTTAGTTTTTTTTTCTTATTATCCTTTACCCATTTCATATTTTCTTTCACCTATGTGCCAGAGTGGTTACACGTTCATTAAGTATTCAACTCTTTTCTAAGTCTTTTCGGTTGTCTTCTACATCGTTTGTCATCACTTTAAAATATATAAATCAGGCATCTTAGCTCGTAATGGTCATCATGATTAACTTTTAGGCCATCATCGGGAAATGGTTCGTCAGAACAAGTATAACAATCTTCTTCATCATATGAACTCATTTTTAAAGTGAATAAAAATTGCTATGATTAAAACATTTTATATATACCTAAATCTACAAATTATTTGACCATTAATCATATTAATATAATTGTTACTGCAAGCAAACAAGTGATATATTACAAAAGTATATTACCACACATCTCAGGGATGTAAATATATGTGGAA